ACCAGAATCGAACCTGGGATCCTTCAGTCCGCAGAACAACACTTTATCCACTGAGCCAAACCAGCTAGGGCAGAGTCTTGGATTTTTTAAGTTAACACTAGTTTGTGTGGGTTTGTTTGTTTGTTTGTTTTTTGTGCTTCATAATATATTCATGTTTTAACAATAGCTAACACTTAAATAGCACTTATGATGCACTGGGCATTGTTCTATTAAGTCATTTACACGGATTAAATTTTTACCATAATCTCATAAGATATGAATGATATTACCCTTATAGAGGAAACAGAAGTACAGAGAGGTTAAGTAATCCTAAGGTCATGCAGCTAATAAATGGTGGACCCAGGATTTAATTCATCTAAGTGTGGCTCAGAGAAGGTGCTATGAATAACTACACTCTAATATTGAAAAACATTTTCATGAATAAAACTGACACTCCAGAAAGCAGCACTGTGTTTTGCCCTGTGGTTTCAGCATCCCCACTGTATACCATCAGAGGTCTGCATATTCCAAGTCGAAAACTACTGATACTGAGATCAGATGTGCATGACCAAGAAAGAGATTCCGACTCCTGACACCCAATAATAACACAGGACTGGCCTAGAGCCAGTGGCATTTCCTCAAAACTCAAGACTCCTGGACGAGCCAATAGAGAGCAAGTTAATCAGGAAATGACACAGAGAAGCAAAGTGAGGGCTTTAGGGTCACTAAAGAGCTGAAATGTGTGGCTGCAGATCTGGAGGACAGAACCTAACCAGCATCCTACCTTCTTACAATTATTTCCCCCAGAGAGCCTGTAGGAGGCAGATGTGAAAAGACTAAGACCCTAGATGTTACTGCTAGAGACTAGGATAGAAGTGTATATTCTGGATTATTTCAGATGCAGTTGTCAGACACCAAATATAAACTAGAGTTTTGTAATAGAAAAGTCCATAATGGCTTCAGGTATGGCTGTGTTTCCTTCATTGTCAGTTTAGCTCCTCCCAACAGTAGCAAGATACCAACAACTCTGTTTATGACCAATTTGCTTAGCCATCCCAGAAGTTAAAATTATTTCCCAATACTTCTAGCAAAGATCCTAGGGTTGTGTCGCATTTGGCTGCATTAGGCACTAACACCATTACCCCGCAAACACACACACACACACACACACACACACACACACACACACACACAACCAGTCACTGTCTGGAGTGGTAGGAATGGAATGTTTTGATCCAACAGGACAGGGCATCTGCCCACACTGGAACTTCAGAGTAAAGCAGCCCCACAAAACCTCATAAACTGAGTGGTAGAAAGGGTAGTTCCCCAAAGAAAATTATAGGTTTCTTACCAGAAGAAGGAATGAATAGATGCTGGGCAGGCAAAATCAATAGTCAACCTGTACAAGATGGGCAGGAGCCACAGATAATGGGTCACATGCAAAACAGTTAATTTGAGCAAACTCTTACCCTGGATTGTTTGAATGCCCTAAAAGCAATTTGGCAAACATTTACTGAGTATTCGCCATGTACAAGGTGTAGCACCTTCCACATAATAAGTGCACAGCAAGACAATCCTCTGCTGCCATCCTGCTGCCATCCCCAGTAAGACAATTACCAGACTCAAGCTATTCCTCCCATCCTACATAATAAAAGGCTAATATGCAAATCGACCAAACATCAAACCGATGGGTCGCTATGACAAGCACTTGACACCAGGGGGCAGATGCTCAACACAGGAGCACTGCTCAGCCAGAAGCCACAGCAGCAGCGCTAAGGATGTCCAACTGTCGGATGTCCCCTGAGGGCTCCTGGACTGCGAGAGGGTGTAGGCCGGGCTGAGGGACAACCCCCCAGTGCACAAATTTCATGCACTGGGCCTTAGTAGGAGTATAACGGGCAAACTGCTATTCATCTCTCAGAAACCAGCTCTGATGTCATCTCCCAGGAAGCTTTCCCTTGCCTACCATCCCTGTCAGAGTTAGTCACCTTCCATCCACCTCTGAACTTGATACATACTGATATTATCACATTGTACCATAATTTATTGATTCTTCTGTCTCCCCAAATAATGAGTGGCATCTCTGTATCTCTAGTGCCCAGGATATAATAGATGCTCCAAAAAGTTTATTGACCTGAGTTAAAATGAGTTCCCAGGTATGGCTTGTCCTCAGGCTTCTATGGAATATTCCTGAAACTATTTAGCTTCCCTTCTCAATAGGCATTCCTTTCAAGAGTCATTTTGCCATTATCTCAATTCAACTGAATTAATACTTACTTTGAATGCCTATCATATGCCAGGTAGTATTAGGCTTTAAGGATTCAGAAATTAATGAGATACATTTCAATTGTAGTGCTCTAAAGAGGCCAGAACTAGCTCTCCTACCAGAATTTCTTTTCTTTTTTTAATTTCTTTATTGGTTAAGGTATTAAAAATGTGTCTTCATCCCCCCATTAACCCCCAACCTCCCTGCCGCGCCCCCCTCCACCTCCCTCCCCCCACCAGAATTTCTTTAGCTGGGAAAACAAATATCTGCCCTGGTTTCTACTCTGTTTTTGACCTGGTCATTCTCCTCCCCCGCACCCCAACCCCACCATTTCCAGGCCTTTTCCTCCAGAAGGAAAGGCCTGACTTGTTGTAAAATCTATAACAAATGTGTATGTGTGGAATTAAACTCCACATTTCCATTTGTCTAGATTAAAAACCTTGGAATAATCCTTTATCATCTTTCCCACACATCTATCCATCAGTCAACAAATCCTGTTGACTTTCACTTCAAATCCAAAATCCAACCATATCTCATCACCTCCCTCAATCTGATACCAACCATTAACACAGTGGTTCTCAACCTGTGGGTCGTGACCTCTTTGGGGGTCGAATGACCCTTTCACAGGGGTCGCCTAAGACCATCGGAAAACACATATATAATTACATATTGTTTTTGTGATTAATCACTATGCTTTAATTATGTTCAATTTGTAACAATGAAAATACATCCTGCATACCAGATATTTACATTACGATTCATAACAGTAGCAACATTACAGTTATGAAGTAGCAATAAAAATAATTTTATGGTTGGGGGTCACCACAACATGAGGAACTGTATTAAAGGGTCGCTGCATTAGCAAGGTTGAGAACCACTGCATTGACATCTCTTGCTAAGGTCATTGCCATATAGGTTCATGTCTGGTCTCCCTGCTTCCACCCTTGTGACCCTACAGTCTATTCTCACAGAGCAGGCCAGAGTGATTCTTTAAAAATGGAAGTTCAGCCCTGGCCAGGTAGCTCAGTTAGTTAGAATGTTGTCTGATACACCAAGACTGCGGGTTAGGTCTTGGTCAGGACACATAAAAGACTCAACCAATGAATGCATAAGTAATCAGAACAATAAATAGTTGTTTCTCTCCCTTCCTCTCTCTCTCTCTAAAAATCAATAAAAATGGAAGTTCAAACCCTCCAATTACTCCCCATCTCATTCAGAATAAAGCTAACACCACCTGTTCAAACCCTGACTCTGCCGGTTCCCAGCTTTGAAATCCTGTTTCTTGTCCTTTCCGATGAGGCTGGTAATATTCATGTGATAGGTCTTGGTGAGGGCTACATGAGAACAGAGTCTGTTTTATACATGTTAACATTATTATGGCAAGCACTTAATGCAGAGGATGCATTCAATAAATGAGCTACATTTGTGATAGTTTCTTCCCTCATAAGACATAAGCTGTGTTAATCACCTGGTAGCTCCATCGCTTTCAATTGTAGTGCTCTAAAGAGGCCAGAACTAGCTCTCCTACCAGAATTTCTTTTCTTTTTTTAATTTCTTTATTGGTTAAGGTATTAAAAATGTGTCTTCATCCCCCCATTAACCCCCAACCTCCCTGCCCCGCCCCCCTCCACCTCCCTCCCCCCACCAGAAAGCTTCCTCCTTTCTCTTATCCTGATCTCTTGTCTATTCCGTCCAAGCCACACTGGCCTCCTTGCTGTTTCTTTTTTTTAAAATAGATTTTATTGATTTTTTACAGAGAAGAAGGGAGAGGGATAGAGAGCCAGAAACATCGATGAGAGAGAAATATCAATCAGCTGCCTTCTACACACCCCCTACTGGGGATGTGCCCACAACCAAGGTACATGCCCTTGACCGGAATCGAACCTGGGACCCCTGAGTCCACAGGCCGATGCTCTATCCACTGAGCCAAACCAGTTCGGCTCCTTGCTGTTTCTTAAACACACCAGACATGCATGCTTGTGCCTGAGGGCCTTTCCACTGACTTCCTCTGCCTGGAATGCCCCCTTTCTCTGGATATATGCCTGACTAATTCACTCATTTCCTTCATGTGTTTGCTCAAAAGTCACCTCAGTGAAGCCTACCCTAATTGCCTTGTATATAATTGCCACCTGCCCTCCCCTTTCTTGTTTCCTCCACAGCAATCATTCCTTTCCAACATACTACCGAATTTACTCATTTAATGTCCATCTCCAGGACTGTAAGCTCTGAATATCAATTAAATATCTACTAAATCCTAACAGCAGCCTTGGTGTATGGGACCATGCTCTAACCAACCGCGCTGCCTGGCCAGGTTTGAACTTCCATTACGAGCCAAGCACTGTGCTAAGCGATGGAGCTACCAGGTGATTAACACAGCTTATGTCTTATGAGGGAAGAAACTATCACAAATGTAGCTCATTTATTGAATGCGTCCTCTGCATTAAGTGCTTGCCATAATAATGTTAACATGTATAAAACAGACTCTGTTCTCATGTAGCCCTCACCAAGACCTATCACATGAATATTACCAGCCTCATCGGAAAGGACAAGAAACAGGATTTCAAAGCTGGGAACCGGCAGAGTCAGGGTTTGAACAGGTGGTGTCAGGGGAGTAGGGTCAGATGTAAGAAATACTTTCAGCGGTTCTCAACCTGTGGGTTGCGACCTCTTTGGCGGTGGAACGACCCTTTCACAGGGGTCGCCTAAGACCATCCTGCATATTAGATATATACATGACGATTCATAACAGTAGCAACATTACAGTTATGAAGTAACAACGAAAATAATTTTATGGTTGGGTCACAACATGAGGAACTGTATTTAAAGGGCCAGAAAGTTGAGAACCACTGATAGATCTTAGGATTGGCAAGACTACGTACCTACGTAAAAGATAGCTGTGGTGCCGAGGGAGGCGGGAAATAACTCCCAGGTTTTGACTGGAGTGGACCAAAGAGCAACAAGGCCGCAGAGAAAGGTGACAGCCCAGTTTGGAAGGGGTTGAGTTTGGGGAGCCTGGGAGCCACTCAAGGATGCAGTCCATCCCCGGCAGGAACTGAGACGGGAGGCGGGTTCCGGGCCCCGCCCTCGGGCCTGAGAGATGCGAGGAGAAGGCACGCACGGAGCAGCAGGACGTGGGTTCCCCTGCCTCTCGGGTTTCTTCCGCAGCAGCGGCAGGAAGGGCGTGGGGGACTGCGAGACAAAGACCCCGCAGGCCCCGCCTCTGTCCAGGCGGCCCCTTTAAGAAGCGCGCCCCCAGCCTCTAGCCCGGCCTCGTATGCAAATATAGCGGCGAGGCGGGAGCGCGCGGCCGATCCCCGGGACCGGGCTGCGGCGGTTAGTCCTCTCCCGGCCGCCGTCGCCTCCGACATATTGCCCGCAGGAGCTGCGGCGGCGAAGCAGAGCGCGCCGGGGGGAGGAGATGGGTGAGCAGAGCGGGCCCGGCTCGGCCCGGGAACGGGCGGCGCGGAGATTGGGGTGGCCAGGCTGCTCATGGCTCCCCACGCGGACCGGATCCCGGCAAAGGGCGGGGGAGGGGATTCGGGCGCAGAGGGACCCCGCCCCCTCCGGTCGCTTTGCGGGGTGGGGCCTCTTGTGGGGGCGGGGCAGCTGGGGGCGGGGCTTCTCGTGCGGGGTGGGGTCTTGTGGAGGATTGGGCTCTGGTGAGGATGGGCTAGGCGTGGGCGGGGCCTTGGCCTAGGGGCGGGGGCGTCCTTCCGGGCTGGGGGTCTTTCTGCTGGAAGCGGTGGGGCGGGAAGGAGACCTAGACTAAGGGAACCCCATTCTGGAGCGAGGCTTCTGGGTACACGCAGCTTTTATGGGCTCGTGGGCGGGTTTTCTGGGCTGACAATTGTGTGTAGGCGGGACTTCTGGGCTGAGGGTGCTTGTGTGGGTGCAGAGCTTCTAGAGAGGAGACTAGGTATGGGCAGAGCTTTTGGGGTGAAGGTATTTGAGTGGGATCTTCTAAGCCGAGTATAATAGTGTGTGAACAGAGCTTCTGGGCTGGGGGCTGGCTGAGGGGCAGAGTTCGAGGACAAGTGCTTTGTAGAGGCTTGTGGGAAAAGCTTCCAAACTGAGGAACTAGGGCAAAAGGCGTGTGTTGTGTAAGCTGCCGTGTTGCCCTGGAGGGATATAAACAAAGCTATAACCTTGACTAGAACTGGGGTGGTGCTTGTAAGCAGGATGGAGCCTGGGAGCTCGGGCTAGACTGCTAAGGCTAGAGAAATAGATGGTGGGTCCAAGTTTGGGTCCACAAACACATCATTCTCCCAAAGCCATATCCTTGGCCCTGTGCTCAGGCCCTGGGTCTTGACCATAAGACACCAGGATGCCCCTCGAGCTGGATCTCAGGCCCTGGAGGAAAAAACTTCACGACTGCCCAGAATTGTCAGCCTATAGAAACTGGGTAGTATCTGAATGGACCAGCATACACCAGAGCTAAGAGCACAGGACCCAGCCCCCAAACTGCCTGTGACACAGTATAAACTCAGTTTCCGAATCTATGGAAAACCTACCCTGCAGGTTTCATCACTCATCAATATACACTTATTGGGCATTTACTTAATGCTGGGCACTGTGGTAGGGGGAGGGGATACAGCGGAAGAAGACGTAAATGTAGTGACCTCACTGACCTTCCATACTAGTGGGTAAGACAGACAATAAATATGTTAACAAATGAATAAGAAAAATTCCAAGAGTGAATTGTTGTGGGGGTGGGAACGAATTATGAAGCAGATACTTCCCAAATGGCAATCAGGGAAGGGCTCTCGGAACAGAGGATACAGCAAGTACAAGAGGTAGCAATAAGCTTGGTTTGCTTATGGAGAGAGAGGCCAGGATGGCTGAAGCATGGGGGCAGGCAGAGAATGGTAGATGAGGTTGGAGAGGTAGGCAGGAGCCAGATCATAGGTCTTTGTGATTAAATGGTAAAGTGAGACAGCAGGTAAACTGGTAGGCAGGATCACTGCTGTTATCCTTGATATATGCCCTTTGGCTTGAGGATTTACCTTATTTGAGTCCCACAGGAGGACGAAGAGGTCCCAACAGGACATCCTACTGTCGTAATCCGCTGTGTGAGCCAGGGTCCTCCGGGGGCTCTGGTGGGGGCCACACTTCCAGTGCATCAGTCACCAGTGTCCGTTCCCGCACCAGGTAAACTGCCTTTCTGTGTCTTGCCCCTCACTGTGGGTTCACAGGGATAGTAAGGACAAAGCTGTCCCTGACTGAGCTCTAGGATGTGATATCCCAGATGCCAGAGGGGGCTCAGAAGGCAGCAGAAAAGACCCAGAGGATGGTCATTTGTACAGTTGCAGTGGGACATCCTATATAATAAAAGGCTATAATGCAAATCAACCGAATGGCGGAATGACTGGTCGCTATGACGTGCACTGACCACCAGGGGGCTCAACGTAGGAGCTGCCCATGGTGGTCAGTGCGCTTCCACAGGGGGAGCACCACTCAGCCAGAAGCCCTGAGCCAGGCAGTCGGACATCCCCTGAGGGCTCCCAGACTGCGAGAGGGCACAGGCCGGCCTAGGGACTCCTCCCTCCCACGGAGTGCATGCATTTCATGCACCAGGCCTCTAGTAGTGTAATAAATCCAAAGGCCTGGATTCTAGTTACAGTTCTGCTGCTGATTTGCTGGTGGCTTGGACAAGTTATCTCCCCTCTTTGGGCCTCCTATTTTCCTTGTCTGTAAAGTGGACCTAATAAATTTTTACTTCCTGGGGGATGTTGGGAAGCCTGAACAAGATTAGGGATAGGAAAAGGCTCTGTCAACCCCTGTGTCTGACATGTAGGATCAGGACCCCATTCTTGCCATGAACGGCTTTTCTGATCCTACCCCACCATCCTGTGCCTCAGAAGCCCTTCTTGGTAGGGTTCTCAGGTCAGCTCCTGATGTTTTCCTTTCCTGTCCCCAGGAGCAGTTCTGGGACGGGCCTCTCCAGCCCCCCACTGGCCACCCAGACAGTCGTTCCCCTACAACACTGCAAGATCCCGGAGCTGCCAGTTCAAGCCAGCATTCTGTTTGAGCTGCAGCTCTTCTTCTGCCAGCTCATAGCCCTCTTCGTTCACTACATCAATATCTACAAGACAGTGTGGTGGTACCCGCCTTCCCACCCGCCTTCCCACACCTCCCTGGTAGGTGTCCAGCTAGGACCAGCCGTGTATGTGTGTGTGAGTGTGTGTATGGTTTCAGTTTAGCACAGCTTACCTAGCACCCTGTAGGCTTGGCCTCATGCTGGGCAAGGGAAGTGTAGAAAGAACAGGAAACTGGTAATTCCTGAATTCTCACCCCTAATGTGCCCAGCGCCACACCAGGCATTGTAAAGGTGGAGATGAATCTGACAGATTTTGCCTAAAGGAGCACAGTCTTAAGTCCTGTGGGGGAGATGAAGCATAGACATCTGTGAGTGTTTCAAGGAGTGGAAAGATCTCCATGCAGAACGAGAGGTTCAGGGACAGGGGCAGGGTGACTAGGGCAAGGGGGCTCACACACCACTCTCTTATCTCCAGGGACGTTCCCACTTCCCTCCTCTGGGTCCTGTTCTACTCTAGGTAATTTCCTGTCCTGACTCAGCTGGAGGCCTGTGAAGGTCAGAGAGTGGGGATAGTCCCTATGGAAAGGACTGGGCAGGGGGAGGTGGATCTGAGAATAGATTGTATATGGGCAGGGGGCCCCACGTGACCCCCAGGCCTCTGCCCCCGACAGAATTTCCACCTGATCGACTTCAACTTGCTGATGGTGACCACCATCGTGCTGGGCCGCCGCTTCATTGGGTCCATCGTGAAGGAGGTGATTGGGTCCTAGAGGCTGGGGACTTTGGGACGCCCTTTCCCCCGGGGGTGCCGAGGAGATACGTGGAGCCCTTCAATCCTAAGGCCTTTCCTTGGGGCTCCCTTCGGACTTGGTTGAAGAACATTACTCACATCCCTTTGGCCGTTGGAGTTTCCTGGGTGTCAAGGAGGGCTCCCCTTGCCAGGTTCTGCCGCGGCTGCTGCCCCCATGTTTCCCTGGGTGGGACACAGGCCGTGCTGGGAGGGATTTGGGCACAGCCTCTGTGGCCTTCATCCAAGGCCCCATCCCGTCCTATCTCACCCTGACCCAGGCTTCTCAGAGGGGGAAGGTCTCCCTCTTTCGCTCCATCCTGCTGTTCCTCACCCGCTTCACCGTTCTCACGGCAACAGGCTGGAGTCTGTGCCGCTCCCTCATCCACCTCTTCAGGACCTACTCCTTCCTGAACCTCCTGTTCCTCTGCTATCCGTGAGTACCCCTCCTTCACCCCTCACTGCCTGACACCTGGTTCTTGACCTTTGCCCTGAGTGTAGCTGGGTCAGCAGGCCCCCACACCTGGAAGACTCCCAGGCAAGGCAGCAACAATGTTCTCTCACATTGTCAGACAGTATCCCCCTGCGATCAGAGTGATTAGCTTTTCACAGGAGCAGAAACTGAGATGGCATCATTTACCCAAGGTGCCACCAAGGGGGAGTCAGAATAGGACTCAAATCTGAGTGTATATCCCAAAGGAAGGTTTCTGAGGGAAGTGCATGTACTTTGTCTCCTTCTCTCTTCCTTTCCTTTCTCTCTGGTTCTCTGTCTGTCTCTGTACATATCAGTGTTTATGTAAGCTCTTGGTGCCTCCCTTAGGTCTGTGTGCATGCAAGCACCTGTGTGTGTCTATGCATGAAGCATGTGTGTGTGTATGTCTGCACATGCATGTGTATATGTCTGTCTTTGTCTGTTTTGGTCACTCTCTCCCTCCATCTTGCCAGAACCCAAATTGTCGAAGATGGAGAGATAGTGTCTGAGAGGAGCCCAGGACTGCCCCTTTCTGGCCTAGGATTGGGGAGGGCTTTGGCAAGGTGTCTACTCTGGCTGTTCGTGGGACAGGTTCCTGGCTGCCTAGGCATTAACAGTTATTTCCCAACCCCTGAGCTTTCTGGTTCATGAGCTTCTCCAGGTTGGACCAGCCCTGTTCCCTGGGAAGCTTCATAGCTGGACACTTCTCCCTCTCTACCCTGGTTAACCAAAAGGGCACTGTCATGGGAGGAGCCCCATCACTATTGCTTCAGTTATATCTAGTTTATAATTAAAAGAGTGACACATGTCATATACAAACATTAAACTTTATAGGAGCTTTTAACATAGAAAATGAAAGTCCACATAATCTCAGTCCCCTAGAAAACCATTACTTACTGCAAGCATGTCAAACTCGAGTTTGGTTGGTTGGTTTTTATTTACACGCATACTTTTTTTTAAAAAAAATGGGATTGTTCTATGCATGTTGTAAAATTGATTACATTTTCCACATAATCATATAACTTGGATATTTTTTCATGGCAATACACATGGTCTACCTCACTTTTTTTAATGGCCTGATAGCATTCTATTATATAGACTTTTCACAATTTGTTTTGTCTTCTATTAGTAGATTTGTTTAGTTATTCCTAGTTTCTCCCTACTTAATGAGGCAGGGCACATTCTTTTGCATACATCTTTGCACACTTGTTCAGTGTTTTTGTAAAACAGATTTGCAGAAGTAGAATTACTGCATCAAAAGTTATGTCCATGTTTTTAAAAATTGACTTGAGAGAGAGAGAGAAAAAACAACAACATTGATGTGAAAGAGAAACATTGATAGGTTGCTTCACCTGGACCTGGAACCAAACCCACAACCTGGGCTTTGCCCTGACTGGGAATTGAACCAGGGACCCTTCAGTGTAAGCGACGATGCTCAACCAATTGAGCCACACCAGCTTTGATAGCTATTAGCAATTGACCCTCCAAAATGGTTGTATTGGTTTAAATTTTCAACGATTGCCTAAATTTGACCCTTTCTAGTTATTCTCCAGTGAGTCCATTCTCCTTGGATACAGACATCATCCAGTGTTTATATCTTGCATTATTTTTTATTTTTTTGCAAACATAATAAAAAAATCCGCATAAAAAAATCAAGTCCAGACTCTAAAACCTTATAATGAAAAATCGCCTCCAACTCCACCCCCCAGAGTAGTCCCACTTCTCAAAAACAATCCCTGTCACTGTTTCTGGTGTTAAATGTTTTTCAGGTCACCTCCATAATTCTAGTATCTTTTTGCCTTTATTTACTCTTTTTAAAAAATTTTTGATATTATAGTTGGGATAACAGGTTTACATAGTTCAAATTCAGCAGGTATAAATACTGCACACTAACTGCGGCACATACCAGAGTTGTGGGTTTGATCCCCAGCAGGGGTCGTGCAGAAGGCAGCCAATGGATGTTTTTCTCTCTGTTTCTCTCTCTAAAATTAATAAAAACAAAAATTCAACAGATATGAAAGAATATGAATGAAAAAGTCTTCTCTTGACTCCTTTTTCCCAGCTACACAGTTTCCCTCCCCAGAGGTAGCCACCAATATTTCTGGTTTCTTGTATATCCTGGAAATAAATACCCTTTGCATATATATGCATACCACACACTCATATATGCACATGCATACAGGTGCACATGCAATTACAAAATACTTAGTTCACCCTTCCATCCCTACTGTTTCCAGTGTTTGATAAGTTATTATTTTTAGTGTCCTATTGGTTATCATTTTCAGTAATATGAGAATGCCTGTCTTTTTTTATTCCATCAATAGTAGTCAGTGTCTTAATTCCTTTTATGTAAAAGAAGAATATTAGGAACCCTGCCATTCCATTTTTTCACCCTCTTCCTCCTCTCACTTCCTGGCAACTATACTCTTATACTGTCAAGCTTGACATTCACACTCTTGTATATAAACACATTAAAGTCTTTCATTCTTTGTCTAAGTCTAATTCTAAAAATTAAAAATTAATAAGTAGACTTGATGTTATAAATATGAAAACATCATTTAGTGTAGGGCCAAGTAGTATGCATAGATGACATTCCTTCTCTCTAGTTAACTGAATTATAATCTTGAGCCTCTTAAAAAAAGAATGTTCTAGTGTCTAGGTCAAATGGTTTCTCTTTTCTTACATTCCATCAAATGCTTAAAATCATTATCATAGTTTAGTTTGCTCCATATTTAGATTGTAACTTTCTTATACAGCTTTTTTTTTCATCTTGGAGTTTCTAATTGCCTTTTCTTTTCTTGTTGACAAAAGAATGATGGGCCTTCAACATATCCTCAAGTTTATCCAGCCTCTCAATCATGCTACCTGTTGCCTGGAGTTCATTTCCCCCCAAAAGACATCCCTCCTGGATCTCTCCATCCTCCTGCTCCAGTCTGGAGTGGTTGCTCTTTAGGCCTGATGTACAGCTCTCAGCCTGGGACTTCCCTACGCTGCCCTCCTGGGTTGGATCCACTGTTTCCTGGATCCCATGTCTTCCTCTTTCTTGGTTTTTCTCCCTTATTTTGCTGGAATGCATAATCAGGTAATTTTCTTAACAATGGGTACATGGGAGTTACGTACATTCTGAGTCCTTGCATGTCTAAAATTGTCTTTATTCTGCCCTCATACTTAATTGATGATTCAGCTAAATGTAGATTTCTAAATTCATATTCTCAGAATTTTGAAGATATTGGTCCATTGTCTCTGGTATCCCATGTTTCTAAAGAGAAGACTAATACCAGTTGGATTCCAATTATTTGTAGATGACTTGTTTTTTTTCTTTCTGAAGGCTTTTAGGGATATTCTGTTTAACTTTTGATTATTTGAAATTTCACCAGGGTGTGTCTGGTGTGGAACTTTTCTCATTCATCTTATTAGTACTCTAGGATTTTTTTTACCACGAGATTTAGGTATTCAGCTCAAGGAAATTTTCTTCTATTATTTCTTTGATAATATTTTTCCTTTCATGTTTTCTTTTTTTTATATATTTTATTGATTTTTTTACAGAGAGGAAGGGAGAGGGCTAGAGAGTTAGAAACACCGATGAGAGAGAGAGACATCGATTAACTGCCTCCTGCACACCCCCCACTGGGGATGTGCCCGCAACCAAGGTACATGCCCTTGACCGGAATCAAACCTGGGACCCTTCAGTCCACAGGCTGACACTCTATCCACTGAGCCAAAACAGTCAGGGCTCCTTTCATGTTTTCTATTCTCTCTGGGACTTCAGTTCATCATATGGTAGACCTCGTAGGTTGGTTATCTGTTCCCCTTATATTTTCTCACCTCTCTCCCTTTCTTCTCTCCCTTCCTTCAGTCTTTCTTTCTGGGTATCTCTCTCTTTTCACGTTGCCTTAGGGAGATTCCCTCAACTATATTGTCCAGCTTTTTTATTGAGAATTTTTTCAGCAATCATATTTTTAATATCTAAGACCTCTTTCTTATTTTGATTATTCTTTTTCATGGCATTTCTGTTCTTGTTTTTAAAATCTCTTATGTTCCCTCAATTTTGTCTTTCCTCCTGGGTCAATTTTTCTATTAAATGCTGCTAGTTTTCTAAATATAGTTGGTTTCTTTGGTTGTCTATTTCTATTTAAGAACAAAGAGCCTGGTAGCTTGAAGTGCATTTTGACTGGAAGTTCTGAGTACATGGGCAGGGCAAACTTTGCTTTAGGATGATTGAGTAAGGTACTTGTCAGGCTGTGGCCCCCTTTGGCCAGAAAAAGGGGGGTAGGTGTTACTCTAGGATGCCTAGAATGGGGACCTCAGTTCTCAAACACTTTGTTCAGTTTCTTTACAGAAAAATCCTTCAGGGTGCATTGTGTGAGGTGTGTAAGAGATTAAGGGACTGATTCTTATTCATAAATACAGGTCTTTGTTTAATCGCATTTGTTCAGCCCTGGTTCTCACTTCTGCCCTCTATCATATGTGCTGACATCAAGCCAGAGCCTTTCTTGGATCACTCTAGGCAGAGAAGCTCCTACCCTCAGTCCAGCCCTCTCATGGCATATCCTGACCTAGACCTATGTCGTCCAGTTTAGTAGTTTCTAGCCACCTGTTGCTATTGAACATTTGAAATAGGCTAATTTGAATTGAGATGTGCTATAAGTGTAAAATATACACCGGATTCTGAAGATTTAGTACAAAAAAAGAAAGTAAGTAAAACATATTCATAATAATGATTATATGTTGCAATGATAATATTTTGCATATATTGAGTTAAATAAAATAGAGTATTAAAATTAATTTTACCTACTTTTTAATGTGGCTATTAGAAATTTTTAATCTTTATTGTTGAAAGTATTACAGATGTCCCCTTTTTGCCCCCATTGACCTCTTCTAGCCTGCCCCCTACAGAAATTTAAATAACATGTGTGCTTCTCATATTCCTATTAGACAATTCTGCTCTAGGCCATGGCTTCCTTCCTCATCTGTCAACATGTTTCCGTCCGCTTTCTAAATTTGTCAGAATCGCTTGTGTACTCCTCCCATTTGTTTTGCTGATATGGATTTACTTCCTACTGTCATGTCTTAGGTGGGAAGGATAGGAGGGAATCTGCCATCTTGCATGTGAAGCTGCTTCTAACTTGTGACCTGTCAGAGCAGTCACTTGCTGTTACCACGTAATTTAGTTGATCTGTAGTTCTTCTTAGAGGCAAAACCAGGGAGAGTTTAAGTACTTGCCCTTAGTTTGACTCTGAATCCCTTGTATATTCATGTAAGTGCCCACCCCCTTATTCCCACAGGGATCCTGAAGAGTGCTTTGGGAATTCCGTTTCAGTCTTCTTTCCTGTCTGATAGAGTCACTGGCCTATTTCTTTTTCTAGCAAAATTATATTGATATATTCTGAGACAGGCACCATGCTGGGGGTTGTTGGAAAAATTAAGAGAGCACTTATGAAAACACTAGCATAATGCCTGGTTGAACATAGGGAATCAATATAAACTATGTAACTTAAGGCAAGTTAAGGATACTGAGGCTCATAGAGATTAAGTAACTTGCCCTAAATAATAGCATTAGTAAGTGGCAGAGCTGGGATTTTAAAACTGGCCTATTTGATCCCAGAGGTTATTTTCTCAACCAAATTCTCTAAGTTGTTTTACTTAACCTTACCCCAGGAAGAATGGTAGCATCCCCACTTCATTTTATCTATATCTATATCTATATCTATATCTATATCTATATCTATATCTATATATCTATATATCTATATATCTATATATCTATATATCTATCTATCTATCTATATATATATATATATATATATATATATATATATATATATAAAAGCCTAAATGACCAAATGACCTGTCACTATGATGTGCACTGACCACCAGGGGGCAGGTGTGCTCCCACAGCGGGAGTGCTGCTCAGCTGACGGACCTGGTCTGGGCAGCCTACGAGCCCAGTGGCAACCTTTCACTCCCTCAGTAGTCCTGCAGATCCAACATCCAGAGAATGGGCCAGGCTCTGACAGACCACCGGCCTCCTGGGAGTCGGCTTGAGGCACCGTGGCCACTTCCCCTCTTCAGATGCTCCGCTAGGAAGAAACGATATAAAAGTACAAATGTCCCCCAGGTGGCTCCCGACAACCAGTGCAAATGTCAGTGGGATGGATCTGGATCCCTGGCTGCAAGGGCATCCCACCACCCGCCCAGGAGGGCCAATCGCATCCCGTCCCCCTCTCCTCCCCCCCCCTCCGCTCCCCCCCCGCACCAGCATCCCTCAGGATGGGTGCCAGATGCAGGGCTCACAGCTGGCAAGTGCAGCTGCAGTGGTGGAGCTTCTCCCAACTAGGACTGACTGGACACAAACCCACAGCAGGTGCAGCGGGACTGGGATGAGTGGGAGCAGCAGGGAGCATTGGACTGCCAGTTTTGGCCCAATCCCTGCAGGCCATGCTGAAGGATCCCACCTGTGCACGAATTCATGCACCAGGCCTCTAGTTTTTAAATATAATAAATACTCATAGTATTTATTGATCTCAGAGGGAGGTAGAGAGAGAGAGAGAGAGAGAGAGAGAGAGAGAGAGAGGGAAACATGAATGATGAGAATCTTCGATCAGCTGCCTCCTGCACGCCCCCTACTGGGGATCAAGCCTGAAACCCAGGCATGTGCCCTGACTGGTAATGGAACCGTGACCTCCTGTTTCATGGGTCAATACCCAGAGTCACACCGACTGAGCAGCATCCCCATTTTATAGAACAGAAAGCAAAAACCCAAAGAAGCACATTACCCAAGGACACTCATTTCCCTTGGAACCTCAGAAAACAGGAAATTACTGTTGATAAGAAAATGTAGCATTCTCATTGACCCTGACTTCTGGGGGCAGCCCAGGAACCCTTCTGGGTCTGGGTCTGAGGACCTGGGGAAATTGAGAGGGCCCAAGCTAAAAAAAGAAATGCTTGTAAAGAGCACCTACATGATATTCCATGTACTGTGCTAGGCATTTGCCCACTTTTTATAACTATATACCCTTCTTGGCTATGGGTTTGTCTAGTTTTCTCCTCAAGTGATAGGAGCCAGATACTCAAAACACCCCTTGACTAATTAGCTCCAGCCGTAACCTAAGCACTACTCAGGGGAAGAGATTTGTACTTTTCAAGGGTCCATTTCAGTGCATGGCACATAAGAGACACACAAATATTGTTCCTGAGCTGCCCTAAGAGCTGTCTAACATATGTACTCAGCAACTTATACCTCCGTGCCATGTACATTTAAAATGAATTACTCGTGGTATTTATTGAGTATCTCTCCTGATCTTTGGTATCAGACTATTCTGGGATAAATCCCAGCTCTGTTACTTCCTTACTAATTGTGAACCTTGGGGAATCCACGTTACCTCTCTGAGCCACAGCTTCTTCATCTGAAAGGGCACGAAACAACGGGACCTAATGCACAGTGTTCTTAGGAGGAAAAGAGAAGCGAATGCGCGTAAAGGACTTACGACAGTGTCTGGGGCATAGGCGGTGCCCAGTTACTGTGGGCTGTTAGGCATGCTGTTAGTTGTCAATAGACTGTGAGGGCAGGGACTCGTCTCTTGCTTCCTGCTATACCCCTGATGCTCAGCACACACTCAGTGCTAATACGTGTGTTGAACGACTGATCATTGGATGGGAGGATAGAGGGTTAGAAGGACGAGTGAATTCTCCCTTCAGAATAGCCAAGAGAGCTAAGGCCCAGGGAGGGAAGAAGGACTCTCAGTGGCTGAGGGCTGGGATCCTGGCCCACGGGCAGGCCTGCCCTCACCACTGTCTTCCCCCGCAGGTTTGGGATGTACATTCCGTTCTTGCAGCTGAACTGTGACATCCGCAAGACAAATCTCTTCAGCCACATGGCTTCCATGGGTCCCCGGGAGGCTGTCAGTGGCCTGGCACGGAGCCGGGACTACCTGCTGACTCTGCGGGAGACGTGGAAGCAGCACACGCGGCAGCTGTACGGCCCAGACTCCATGCCCACCCATGCCTGCTGCCTGTCGCCCAGCCTCATCCGCAGCGAGGTGGAGTTCCTCAAGATGGACTTCAACTGGCGCATGAAGGAAGTGCTGGTCAGCTCCATGCTGAGCGCCTATTACGTGGCCTTCGTGCCTGTCTGGTTCGTGAAGGTGTGTAGCTCAACCCAGGGAGGCAAAGGGCCTGCCCAGGGCCTCACCCTGCTGCCTGCCCCCCAGACCTCCTGCTTGCATAAATAACTACTATTTTTTTATGAGATTCTGTATGTTCTCTCAAGGGCTAGAGTGACTGCTGCCTCTATTTTTAGAGCGGAAAGAACAAGGCTCATTGAAAGGAAGTGGTCTGCACAGGACCACCCAGCCAGTGAGGAGGACATGCATTGTTGTTCATAATACTTGGTAACAGAGAGCAGTGACTTGTATTTTAATTTGGCTGTTTTGGTACAGGCATGTCACAGTGTCCTGCTTTACCGTTAAATAGGAAAGCAGGATTCATCCAGATCGGAGTGACAGCAAAAGCCTGTGCTCTCTCTCTAGCTTGTGTGGCCTTCTGGGAAAGTATTTTCCCAGCCGACTGTAGGCTGGAAACATGTATCCAAGAACGGACCCTACTGAATAATTTGAGGTGGAGGTTTTAAAGTTTGTTGAGCACCTACATGTGATAGAGCTTTCATGGGTATTACAGTCCTCCAAATGCCTCTCAGCGGTGGTTGGTGGTTACTCTTATCTTCATTTAACAGATGAGGAAACTGGAGCATAGAGCAGTGAAGTGACTTGCCCAAGGTCACACAGTTAATAAGCAGCAGAGCCAAGATTTGAACTCATGTCAGTTGGACTTGCCTGAACTTGGGAGCCAGTGTTCTGGCTCAGAGTGGTGGGCACTGGGAGCAGTTTTTCTTTGTAAAAGACTAAGCAGTGGGCCCAGGGTCTAAGCCAGGGATGGCGAACCTATGACACACGTGTCAGAGGTGACACGCGAACTCATTTTTTTGGGTTGATTTTTCTTTGTTAAATGGCATTTAAATATATAAAATAAATATCAAAAATATAAATCTTTGTTTTACTATGGTTGCAGATATCAAAAAATTTCTATATGTGACACGGCACCAGAGTTAAGTTAGGGTTTTTCAAAATGCTGACATGCCGAGCTCAAAAGGTTCGCCATCACTGGTCTAAGCCCATGATTAAGCCTTCTTTGTTAGGTGTTAGATCCTTGGTTTCACGTCACCCTGAGTTCTCTCCAGGTTTGATCTTCAAGGTACATAGAATCAGGGAAGGGGGAAGGAGTGAGGACATTACGGGCATCCCAGGCCTTTCCCACCTCTTCCTGCCCCCAGAACACTCATTACTACGACAAGCGCTGGTCCTGCGAGCTCTTCCTCCTGGTGTCCATCAGCACCTCAGTGATCCTCATGCAGCACCTGCTGCCTGCCAGCTACTGCGACCTACTGCACAAGGCCGCTGCCCACCTTGGCTGCTGGCAAAAAGTGGACCCAGCGCTGTGCTCCAACGTGCTGCAGCACCCGTGAGTTGCCCTACCCTTCTCTGCCCAACCCTAACCCTCCTGGTCAGTGTCTGGAGTCACTCACCTCTTTGCTCATCAACGCATTCATTCAGTCAGCAAAAGGTTATTGAGCATATCTTGTTTGGTAGACCTTGTGGCCAGAATGGGGTATGGCAGGGCCCGAGACGGACATGTTACCTGTCCCTAGGTAACTTGTAGTGTACTAGAGATGGGAGGGGGCAGGCAGTAAATTCATAGACTCATGGACTTTCTCATTCACTGACTACTATTTATTCACCCATTGACTGACTTGCTCATGCATTCATTCCTCGCTTCACTCCCTCTATCAACTGCTTACTCATCCATTCAGTCATGAGGTCACCTACTCTTCCAGCAGACATTTATTTCTACCTCATCCATACCAGGCTTGGTGCTATATATTGGACAAAGAAGCTTGGCTTTGACCTATAGGCAAAGGAGAGCTATGAAGGATTTTGAGTAGTGGAGGGACCAGTTCCAAGGCGTATCTTAGAGACGTCAAACTGATAACAAGATATGGTGTTATGGTGTTGGTGCTGATGGTGAATCTTGGACAGGGAAGAAAAAAAACAGGGAGGAAATTACTGAAACAAGATCCTTAAGGAGTTCAGTCTGGTGGGGGTGAGAGCTGTGTACATAAATAGGATGAGTGGTGTGACAGAGGCCCAGCTCTAGGATATTATTGCACCCAGAACAGAGGCAGAAGTTACCCTGCTTGGGAACCCTGAGGTGCTAGGCTGTCTTTCCCCAGCCTGGCTCATTCTTCACGGTGCCTAGCATTTCACCACAGTGCGTTTCACCCAGGTTATATGGGTTTTCCTGCCTGTATTGCCCCAATAGACTGAAAGCTTCTCAAGGTGGAGGCCACTTCTGTATCACATCTGAGTCATGGGCCAAGCACAAGGCCTGGCAGAGAAGAGGCACTAGGACAGATGTGTAGCGGTAGGCCCACCTAGAAGCAGAGATGCAAAGGGAGGCCACAGAGCCCAAGCCTCCTGGTGTTGGCACTCTGTGCCAGTCAGGGCCTTTCCAGCCTCTGCCCAGATGGTCCAGGAAAGGGGATGGGCATTGCCAAATGGGCCAAAAGGGGGCTCTGAAGGGAGGGAGGAGTAGAAAGATAGAACATAGCAGAATATGAGGCTAAATCTGTCCGTAGCTCACCACAATCTGCAGATAACATCCGGGATCTTTCACACAGCTTCCCAGCTGATGAGCTGGGTCCTGCCAGCCTTTTCTACCTTATCTCTTACCATGCCCCAACTCATACTCTGCTCTAGCCAGACCAAACCTCTTCGAATCCTTAAACTCTGTATGCATTTTTATATCGAGGTTTATGCACATGCTGCATGTTTTGCCTGCCACATCCTTCCCGACTTTCTCTTCCTGATTAATTCCTCTCCATTCTTTAGCACTTGAATTCCTCCAGAAACACTTTCCTGTCCATCCAAGTGCTCCCCTATGCTCCTACAATCCCACAATCCTATAATATCATTGCACCTGGCACTTTCTGCTCTGTTTGCTTAGTGACTTGCCTGTCATTCCAGGACTAAAGCTCCTGGAGATCAGAGTCCTTCCCTATCAAGCTCTCAGCCATCTCCTCATTCCTAGTTGAGCACCTGGCTTATAATAGGTCCACAGTACATTTTTTGTGTATAGTCCTTTTTTTTTTTAATTTAAACATATTTTTATTGACTTGAGAGAAGAAGGAAGAGGGAGAGAGAGATAGAAACATCAATGATGAGAGAGAATCATTAATTAGCTGCCTCCTGCACGTCCCACACTGGAGACCAAGCCTGCAACTCGGACCTGTGCCCCACCCGGAAACGAACTGTGACCTCCTGGTTCATAGGTTGTCGTTCAACCACTGAGCCATGCTGGCTGGGCAGTCTTTTTTTTTTTTTTTTTTTTTAAATATATTTTTATTGATTTGAGAGATGAAGGAAGAGGGAGAGAGAGATAGAAACATCAATGATGAGAGAAGCAGGAAGGTGATGTAATAACAAGAGAGCTATTTTTAGGTATTTCCCAAATCAGAAAGGAAGACAATGCACACACGCAGAACAAGGACAGCCGTGCCAACATCGGCCGGCTGCCTTTTGCACACGCCCTCCTCGGGATCGAGCCTGCAACCCTGGCATGTGCCCTGACCAGGAGTCCATCCATGATCTCCTGGTTCATACGTCAATGCTCAACCTCTGAGCAGGGCTATCCTCTTTTTTTTTTAAGGAAAAATTTATATACAATTAAATGTACAAATCTTTAAGATTTTTAAAATTGATTTTTCGAGAGAAAGGGGGAGGGAGGGAGGGAGGGAGGAAGAAAGAGAGGGGGGGAGAGAGAGAAAGAAAGAAAGAAAGAAAGAAAGAAAGAAAGAAAGAAAGAAAGAAAGAAAGAAAGAAAGAAAGAAAGAAAGAAAGAGAAAAGAAAAGAAAAGAAAAGAAACATCTACGTGAATGCAAAACATCAATCGGCTGCCTCCTGCATGCCTCCCACCAGGGATTGAGTCCCCAACCTGGGCGAGTGCTCTGACCGGGAATCAAACCAGCAGCCAACCTTTCAGTGCATGGGATGATACCCAACCCACTGAGCCACACCAGCCAGAGCTGAAAAGTATAAATCTTAAAATGTATCGTTTTTTGAGTTTTGATAAAGGCATGTACACCCATGTAATCTAGCCTCCATCAAGCTACAGAACATTTCCAGCCCCTCAGAAAATTTCCTCGTGATCCTTCCCAATGACCACCCAACTATCTTTTCACTTTCTTTCACCATAGGTTAGTTTTCTGTTCTGCAACTTCATATAAATGAAATCTTGAGTCCAGATTCTTTAATTCAGCATATTGTCCGTGAGATTGATTCACGTTATCACATGTAATACAATAACTTTTTTAAATGAATGAATCAGCAAGGCAGGAGCATGAGATTGAGCTTCTTGCAGACAGTGAGTCTCAGTCCTCTGGCCCAGCACCCTTGGAGTTCCTGAGAGATTTTACAGAACGTCGGAAGAAAGCGCACTGGTTCCACCACCTCGTTCACATGGTCACTGGGGCCTCTATGTGCCAGCCCTTGTGGTGTGCTGCGAGGACAGAGGTGCATTGGACACCATCCCTTCCCTTAAGGTCTCCCAACCTTTGAGACATACAGAGAAATAAATAAGTGGCAAAACATTGGGGAAAGTAGATCAGTAGTAGGGGTTTGGAGGAGAGTGAAAGGATGCTGAATTCTGTGAGGAGTTGGAGGAAAGCTTTCTGGAGGAGTCTGGGTTTTAAGATGACAAAGAGCTTGGCCGGTGTGGTTCAGTTGGTTGTAGCACCGTCCTATACACCAGAAGGTGGCAGGTTTCATTCCGGTCAGGGCACATGCCCAGGTTGCAGGTTCCATCCCCAGTTGGGGCACGTGTGGGAGGCAACTAATAAATGTTTCTCCCTCCCTCCCTCCTTCTCTTCCTCCCTCCCTTCCTCTCTCCCTCCCACTCCCCCTCCCTTTTTCTCTCTGAGATCAGTTTTTTTTAAAAGATGACAAAGAGCTTGCCAGAAGGATAAGGCATCAGGAAGGGCAGTCCAATTGGAGGGGGCAGCTTGTACAGAGACATGAAGCAGTAAGCCAGGGGTCCTCAAACTTTTTAAACAGGGGTCCAGTTCACTGTCCCTCAGACCGTTGGAGGGCCAGACTATAGTTTAAAAAAAAAACTATGAACAAATACCTATGCACACTGCCCATATCTTATTTTGAAGTAAAAAAACAAAACGGGAACAAATACAATATTTGTATTTGCATGTGGCCCGCGGGCCGTAGTAAGGTATGCTGGAGGAACTAGAAACTGAGCTACATGGTGGCGGTCATGGAAGGCCACGCAGGGCCTCAGAGGACTTGACCCAAGAGCACGGGACAGGCTTCAGATGGTTTTGAGCAGAAAACAGTCGGGCTCAGTTTGGTATTTTACAGAGACCACTTAGGCAACTTGTGATGGACCAATTGGAGGCTGCAGGTAAGACCAGATGAAGAAGATTCACCTAGAGAGGGAAAAAGATTTTCTTGACCCTCCCTCGGGCGTTAACGTCAGCCCTAGACCTTGCGACTGCCAGCACAGTGAATTTCTCATGGTTCTTCCCCATTTTACAGAGGAGACAACTGACACCCAGAAAGGGAAAGTCACTGTGCTGAGTCGTAGAAATGAGAGTAGAGCCCTGGTGGTTTCTCCTCATGCCCAGTCTTCCGGTCACCCCTGTTGTGGGTGAGCTGGGCATAAAGCGCACTGTTGGGCTCTGCCTCCAGGTGGACTGAAGAATGCATGTGGCCGCAGGGCGTGCTGGTGAAGCACAGCAAGAACGTCTACAAAGCAGTGGGTCACTACAATGTGGCCATCCCCTCTGATGTCTCCCACTTCCGGTTCCACGTGAGTCTCCTCCCCGGGAAGGAGGGTTGGGGCCTGATCTAGAGGGCAGGGGGACCAGAGGGGCAAGAAGGTGATCTCATAACAAGAGAGTTACTTTTAGGTATTTCCCAAATCCAAAGGCAGACAGTATACACATGCAGAACAAGGACAGCCATGTCAACCACTTCATAACTGCATCTTGCCTGGTAGCAGATCATTGAAATACTGGGTGGAGGTGGGAAAGATGATACAATAAAAGGAAAGGTTCTTAGTGATAAAAATAATAACTATCATCATTCCTATTGTGTGCCAGGCAAGCACTTCCCATGCACTCTTCCATCAGTCTTTACCAGAACTTTGTGTGTAGGGGAGAAATGCCAGGGCTCTCCCCGTTTTTAGATACTAAAATCAGCTTAGACAGTTTAAGTTGTTCAAGGGTGCCTTCCTAGGAAATTTGAAAACTGGAGGTAATGATACTATGGAAAAGGGCTGCTCAAAATCATCGAGGCTAGTGGTCTGCATTTTATTTATTTATTTTGCTATCAAAATCCTTTGTCCAATACAGTCATAGACTGAAGTCCAATGTATAGGACCTCATGGCTCTGCTCTGTTTGCAAGGGTTGGGACTCCTTGCACTCCCACTCACCGCTGCTATAGTCCCTAAAATAACCTCCTCGGAACCTGGGGCTCCAAGGAACACAGTCTGAGAAATCATAGATCTGGGTAATCTCTTTGTTTCACTGTAGAGAAACCTAAGGCCCAGACAGGGAAGGGTCTTGCCCAAGGTCCCAGAAGCCTCTCAGCTGCAGAGCTGAACCTGGCATGCTGGTCTCTTGGACTCCCATTTCCTACGACTTCTCCTATCCTGTAAGCAGCTCTTGAGGTTTAGGTACCTTGCCTCTTGCAGAATCTGGATCCCTAGACATTGATCACTCTTTTGAATTGATCAGAAATTTTTTGCTACACTCTACCTTGCCTGGTAAACACCAAGTAAGAGTGAGGAGTCACCAGGTCCCCTGGAAGCTTCTGGCCTAGCTGGCAAGTACTATACATTAAGTACTTGGTGACTCAGGCTGTAGAGTCTGTAACTCCGCCTATATAATAAAAGCCTAATATGCTAAGTATCCGGTCGTCTGGTCGACCATTCAACCAACCAAAGCATAATATGCTAATGATACGGTAAGGCCACTCAACCATGTGCTATGACATGCACTGACCACCAGGGGGCAGACAGTCAACCGATTGATCAGTTGCTATGAGGTGCACTGACCACCAGGGGGCAGACATTCCAACTGGTAGGTTAGCTTGCTGCTGGGTTCCAGCTGATTGGGACTGAGCCAGACAGGCCGGACACGCCTTGACACTCTCCCACAGTCCCTCGCTGGCTGGCCAACCTCCCGCATCCCTGCCTGGACCTGATCGTGCACTAGTGGGGTCCTTCGGCCTGGCCTGCACCCTCTTGCAATCCGGGGCCCCATTGGGGGATGTCAGAGAGCCGGTTTCATCCCGATCCCGCAGTCTAGGCCGAGGGACCCCACTGGAGCACGAATTCGTGCACCGGGCCTCTAATATATCATAAGATTCTAATTGGTTCAGGTCTTGCAGTACCCAGGAAGATCACATATAAAATCTGGTCTGATTTTAGACCAGAAAAAAGTTTGAGAGAGCAAGCAAGACTTCTCAAGAAAAGCTTCCTGGAGGAAGTACAAGTTGAAAAGGATCTTAACATTATGTGGAGAGCAGTAGCCTTGACCACAAGCAAAGGCAGAGAGGCAGCAAAGTCAGTGCCCAACCCTCGGAAGTTTTCCTTCCCAGCCCACTGCATGGGGCCCCAAGAGCTTGTTCCCTTCACTGGCCCACCCAGCCCCCCAAGAGGCAGGTTTCCGGAGAGTACATTCCAGTCCATCCTGCTCTTTCCTGGGCAGTTCTTTTTCAGCAAACCTCTGCGGATCCTCAACATCCTCCTGCTGCTGGAGGGTGCTGTCATTGTCTACCAGCTGTACTCCTTAATGTCTTCTGAAAAGTGGCACCAGACCATCTCACTGGCGCTCATCCTCTTCAGCAACTACTACGCCTTCTTCAAGCTGCTGCGGGACCGCCTGGTACTGGGCAAGGCCTACTCATACTCGGCCAACCCCCAGAGGGACCTGGACCACCGGTTCTCCTGAGCCCAGGGCAACCCCAGGGACCGCATCCAGGCTTCAGCCAGCGGATCCCTGGGAAGGGGCTGTGGGGGGGGGGGAGGGGGGTAAAAAACCCCAAAAACTGACAAAAAAAATCCACCAGAGCTTTGTATTTTTGTTACATACTGTTTTTTTCTTTGATAATTGATATGATTATGAGGAAAAAAAGTCCTATTTTTATACTCCTAATAAGCTTGTGTCCTGAGTTTCTTTCCCTTCTTGCCTGTCAGGCAGAGTGCAGTGGTGTGTGATTCTGGGCCAGGAAACCCCACGTGTCTTCTGGGGCCTGTGGGCTCTGCCTTCTCCATTGGAGGGGAGACGAGGCATGAGAGTTCACAGTAACAATGAAAACTGCTGCTAGCTGAATGCTCACTGTGTACCAGGTGCTGCTTTCTGTGTATTTACAGGCCTTGTCTTAATCCCACCTTTATGACAACCTTAGGAGGTGGGTGCTGTCACTCTAGTCTGTAGATGAAGAATGAGCTCAGAGCTATAGTGACTTGCCCAAGGTAACACAACTAGGATAGAGCTGGGCCAAAAAAAAAACAAAAAAACCCTCCAAAATATGACACTACTACCCTAGCAGGATGTGAGGTCCTGATTCAGCGTGCAGTCATGGTGACCCTATTCTATGCCAGGTGTGGGAGACAGTTAGGATGCCAAGACACAGAAAGTCGTACGACACCGGGATGGTTATAACAGTTACAAGGTACACAGTAGCACAGAGGGAAGAATGTGTAATGTTCTCTGGACTTCTTGAAAGAGTGGATAGCCTGAGTTGCATCAGCTACTTCCTAGGTGGACAAGAAGGCAACGGCACTTCAAGCAGAGAAAAGGGCATGTGCAATAGCACAGATTTGGAGCATCTGGTGTATTTGGGGAGGGTAAGCAGGATGTGGTTCCTAGAGCAGGAAATATAAGGAAAGTGGGGCGGGAGTGGGATGGAGCTGAAAAGGTATGGAGGGCCTGGATCAGGGAGGATCAATGGCTCTAGACTAGAGAGTTTCTGAGCAAGGGCAGCTGCTTGGAGGGCCACCTGGTTCCTATGGGGCATAACTCGGGCTGGGAGGAGAGACAGTCGTAGCTGCACATCTAGTCTGCCTGTGCTCCCTGAGTCCTTTGGCCACAGGATAAACAGATGAGTCCACAGAGGTATATGGCAGGGAGACACTGCTACAAATGTTTTTGGTGCCTTTGTTGATGCAGGCATTGTGCTTGGCACTGAGACAGCTACAAAGATGAGGAAGATACAACATAAGAATGCTCAGACCTGTAGAAAAAATTTTTTTTAAGTTATATAGCATTTGCTTTATTTCATTTATGTAAAGGTCGAGAGTTGTGGAGATTTTTTAAATATATTTTTATTGATTTCAGAGAGGAAGGGTGAGGGAGAGAGAGAGAAACATCAATGATGAGAGAATCATTGATTGGCTGCCTCCTGCATGCCCCCTACTGGGGATCCAGTTGGCAACCTGGGCATGTGGCCTTGATAGAATTGAACCCAGGACCCTTCAGTCCATAGGCTGATGCTCTATCCACTGAGCCAAACCAGCTAGGGCTTGAGAGTTTTTATAAGAGTTTATTTGAGGCCTCGCGGCCCTCCTCCGGGTCCTGAGCCACCTGCAGTTTCCAGGGTTTGCTGGGCTACTTTGTCCTGTGGAGTTGGGTGGGCACAGCCACAGCTAACTTGTAGCAGGTTGGGGTTCCAGCTCCACCCCAACTATAGGGGTGAGAGCCGATTCCAGATGGACCTTGGGCATGTGAAGTTCGTCTTCAACATCTGTGGGGGTGCCTTGGCCTGAGTTCTAAGCGCAGGCCTGCACCGTCCAGGAGGCTTCAGAGCCACTGCACCCAGTGAACAGCTTCAGATCACATGGAAAAACCACCCAACCACCACCACAGTGACACACTCAAGAGGCAGACTCGGGGCAGCAGAGCCCTGCTGAAGTGTGTGCTGCTCAGTGGGGTGGGCCCCTGCACACCTGACCCTTCACAGTGGTTGGTGGTGGTAGCCAGTTTTTGCAGCAGATTGGCCTGGGGGTAAGTCCCTCCCATTGATGTGCCAACAGCGATCAAGATTCAACTAAAACAGGAGGGTATACATAGCCCACGGGTGGGGAGGGGTGCAACTAGAGTGGTCAGGGAGGCTGGGCCATTGGATCCTACAGGACATCTACTACAATAGGCTATTCTACCAAGCCTGGGAGACATAGCAGCTCTACCTAATACATAGAAACAAACACAGAGGCTGCCAAAATGAGGAGACAAACACGTCGTCCCAAATGAAAGAACAGAACAAAACTCCAGAAAAAGAACCAAATAAAACGGAGACAAGCAATGGACCAGATGCAGAGTTCAAAACACTGGTTATAAGGATGCTCAAGGAACTTAATGAGAACCTCAACAGCATAAAAAAGAAACAGCCCTGGCCTGGCCACCATGGGTCAGTGGTTGAGCATTGACCTATGAACCAGGAGGTCACGGTTCAATCCTGGTCAGGGCATGTACCCTGGTTGTGGGTTCGATCCCCAGTGTGGGGCGTGCAGGAGATGGCCGGTCCATGTCTCTCTCACATAGATGTTTCTCCCTTCCTCTTTCTCTAAAATCAATAAAAAAAACTTTTTTGTTTTTTTAAAGAAACAGTAAGAGCTCTAGCTGGTTTGGCTCAGTGGATAGAGCGTAGGCCTGCGGACTGAAGGGCTCCAGTCAAGGGCATATGCCTGGGTTGTGGGCTCGATCCTCAGTAGGGGGCATGCAGGAGGCAGCTGATCAATGATTCTCTCTCATTATTGATGTTTCTATCTCTCTCCCTCTCCCTCTCTGAAATCAATAAAAATAAAAATATTTAAAAAAAAAAAACAGAAATGAAGGATACACTAATGAAATAAAGAATAATTTACAGAGAATCAACAGTTGAGTCCATGAAGCCAAGAAGCAAATCATTGACTTGGAATGTAAGGAAATAAAAAACACCCATTCAGAAAAGAAAGAAGAAAAAGGAATCCAAAAAAATGAGGATAGTATAAGGAGCCTCTGGGACAACTTCAAGCATACCAACTTTCCTATCATAGGGGTGCAGGAAGAAGGGAGAGAGCAAGAAATTGAAAACCTATTTGAAAAAATAACAGCCTTAGCTGGTTTAGCCCAGTGGATAGCGTGTCGGCCTGTGAACTGAAGGGACCCAGGTTTGATTCCAGTCAAGGGTCAAGGACACTACTTCGGTTGCAGGCTCCTCCCCGGTTAGGCCCTGGTTGGGGCATGTGCAGGAGGCAACCAATCGATGTGTTTCTCTCACATCGATATTTTGCTCTCCCTCTCTCTTCCATTCTCTCTAAAAATCAATGGAAAAATATCTTCGGGAAAGGATTAAAAAAGAAAAGAAAAAATAATAACAGAAAACTTCCCTAAACAAGATGAACAGAGTCCCAAACAAGATGAACCCAGTGCGGCCCACACTAAGATACATCATAATTAAAATGCAAAATGTTAAACACAGAGAGAATCTTAAAAGCAGCAAGAGAAAAGCAGTTAATTACCTTTAAGGGATCTCTTATAAGACTGTCAGCTCATATCTCAAAAGAAACTGCAGGCCAGAAGGGATAAGCAACAAATATTCAAAGTGATGACAAGCAAGAACCTACAACTAAGATTACTCTACCTTTCAAAGCTATCATTTAGAATTGAAGCACAGAGAAAGAGCTTCCCAGACAAGAAATAGCTGCCCTGGTTGGTGTGACTTGGTTAGGTGTCACCCAGTGCATCCAAAATTTGCTAGTTTGATTCTCAGCCTGTGTGTCAGATTGAAATTTGGGGGCATTACCTAAGGAGGGACAGTAGGAAGTTATGCAGTAGTTAAGCAGAGGTATGGCATGATAAGGTATCTGCTTTTTTGTTGTTGTTAAACCTCACCCAAGGATATTTTTCTATTGATTACCCCCCGCCCCCAGAGAGAATGGAAGATGCCTCCCCCACGCCCTTGTCTGGAATCGAACCTGGGACCCTTCAGTCCACAGCTCTATCCACTGAGCAAGACCAGCTAAGACAAGGTATCTGCTTCAAAGGAGATGATAGACCCTAGCAGGTTTGGCTCGGTGGATAGAGCATCGGCCTGCGAACTGAAGGGTCCCAGGTTTGATTCCGGTCAAGGGCATATGCCTGGGTTGCGGGCTCCATCCCCAGTGGGAGGCGTGCCAGCGGGGGGCATGCAGGAGGCAGCCAATAAATGATTCTTTCTCATTATTAATGTTTCTATCTCTTTCTCCCTCTTCCTTCCTCTCTGAAATCAATAAAAATATATTTAAAAAATAAAAAATAATAAAGGAGATGATAGGTGTGAGTGGGAAAACCTGGGGCCAGGGAACCAGTGAGGAGGCAGGCAAAATAGAGCAGAAGGTACTGAAGAGGTCCAACCTTGAGCAGTGGCAGTAGAAAGAGAAAGATAGTACTCCCTTTCCTGACCCTGAGTTTTAAAGTTACCTTCTTGAGTTGTTTCCCTTAACTGGCGAGCACACAAGTAGAGCTGGCAATTTGTTGTGTCAGGACCTAGAAGCCCAGATCCCTCATCCTGCTTCCAAAAGACAGCTTCCCCTTGGGACCAGTGACTTGAAGTTAGCTTTCCTGTGTGTTCGGGTGAGGAACAGGACGGGCCTGTCATGCAAAAAGAGAGGCCTAATCTGTACCAGCCATAAAATGTCATGATTCAAAAGGCATGAAAACACTCAAGGCTCCCATTTCCTAATCTCTAAAAAGGGAAATCACTTTCCATGCTTTGTGTGAGTCACAGACCTGTTAGTTTGCTTATTTACTCAGCAGTTATGTATGGAGCCCATACCATGTGCCAGATACTGTACTGGGTGTTGGGAGACAGTGATGAAAAAATACAGAACCGACCTCTGCCCTCAGAGAGCTTGCTGCGAAAATAAATGAAATACAGTAGCTCTGCCAACTATAAAGCACTGCACTGGTCTCATTTTTCTAATTTTAATTCCCAATAAGATTGTAATCCTGGTTACTCTTGTCTTCTTTATTATCTTCTCTGTATATATCCTTGAGCACAGTCATTTCGCCTCTTCAAGTGAGCCTCTATTCATACCCAGTGCAGGGTCTATGATTGGCTTTGTAGCAATCTCTCTCCACCCACCCTTTCCATAGTCCATCCCTATTCCCCGCCTTTAGTAGCTGCAGTCTCT